TTTAGAAAGAAGTAAGTAAAGTAATAATTCACTAATGTATGCCATAGCAAAATTACTATAAAATTATATTAAGGAGACGGAGGAAGGGGATGAGGCAGAAGCAAAAATTCTCTCTCTCTCTCTCTCTCTCTCTCTGACAACATAAAATTACAATATAAAATTAATAATATCATATGACAGTAAGAATACAATTTAGAATTGACGACATTGCAATTGACGGTAAAAAAGTTACAATTACTTTAGATGCGTCCAAAGGATTAGACAATGGTAATGCCAAATTTCAAACCGAAGGCACCGGTACTCCGTTAACCGGTAAGGCTGATGACGGCACTACTGCTGGCACGGCTGGTGATATTAGATATAGCCGAGATGCCTGAGCAACTGGCGGTCGAACAGCAAATTCTCGAATAGCAGCGGGAGGAATAGCCACCATTGAGGTTAATTGTTCCACTGAATTAGAGGCGAATGAGATGCGTGGTCTATTGCTTTTAAAAGATTCCGTCAGGGGTAAACATGCAGCACGCGCAAAATGAAATGCTTGATTTAGCGGAATTGATTATGACGAAAATGTAAAATTTGAGCAAAATAATCCTAAATCCTGGTTGAATATAACGGGGGGGGGGGGGGCAATGATAATTTGGTATTAAAATCTACCAGTTTTGCCGATGGTAAAATTTTGGAAAATTTACATATTGATAATATAGTAATGACGGATAATGACGAGGGGGCTAGCATTAAGGTTGGTGACGACCCGGCTAATGGCAATTTTTCTGTTTATGCCCCGGCACTGTTGGCTTTGGAAGATAAGTTATGAGGATTAGAACAACATTACACGAAAGATGGGGGAGACCTGGCTAGTCGCAACCTTGATGCTGACCTGGCTGCTTTGGAAAAATATAGTAATGCGGCCGCAAATACTAACGAACAAGTGGTTTATGGCGTACGCCATTATAAAGGACAAGTTGACTTATGAAATAGGAGATTAAGAGAATGAAAAATTTGAAAAGCGTTGGGAGTAAAAATGGTGGATGATGTATTACGGGCTAACGCTAACCAATTTATTATTGCCCTTCGTAATCGTGCCACGGCCGCTGGTGGTGATAATTGACTAGTGAATGGTTTTGACCCAGGAGTTGGTAATGCTAATTTGATTTGGGAAAATGGCACTAATGATGAAACTCACGGAGAAATAAGCAAAATATTTGATGAGACAAACGGGATAAAGAAAAATCCCGCTGGTGTTCCAACTTACAAAGGATTTCCTATTTTTGAAAAATGACAAAAACCAGGAACAGACGATACTGATAATAACCAAAGCAAAAATCGGCGAGAGTTCGGAGAGGGTGCGGATGGCAATAATGGTAAAAATGCAGCGGCTAGTAGCATTTTTACTAAAACTAATATCGACAGTTTTCGCTTGACAACGGAATTTGACGGCGAAAGCGACCCGCAAAATTGTCGGGGCTTTCAGCCGGGGGATTTAACTACGGCTAATAATTTTCATTTGGGCATAAATGATATAAATATCTCAGCCACCGGTGGCAATACTTTTCGGTATCCGGTGAAGCAAGCGGATGGGACTTGGGGGGTCAGCACCGACCACTATGAAGAAAATGAGGCGACTAAAAGGTGTTTTAAAATAATTAGAGAAACATTAAAAGATGATGCCTTAAACGAAGCTTTCTTTTTTAATCCCCTCAATGAAGTAAAGCAGTGAGGAAAAAAAGATGACAAAAAACCAATAGGCACGGTGGGATTATTAGAAAAATATTATATTGCTTTGAAAGCCAATGCTGCTATTAATTATGCGAATAGTGAAGATAACCAAAAAATAGTTGACGCTTCTTATAATATAATGCTCCAAATAGCCCAATTGGTAGATGAAAATCCCACTGACCAAGCCAGTTATGAGAA